TGCAGTTTCTGTTACGTTTTGGCTGTCCACTTGCTGCTTTGTGGTACTGTTTTGTTTGCGTTCCTGCAGATGGGGAAAACCCCTTGCCAGTCCATGTGCTGTGGGAGGGAAAGCAGGTTTTGAAGCGCCTCTTGCCTTTCCCATGCAGCGAGTGCCGTGGTCAGGGAGCCAGGGGAATGCAAAGGGTGCCCAACTGGGCTGTTTGCTTTTCTTTCTCTGTGTTTGTCCTGCCAGGGAAATACCATGCAGAACAAGGGAAATGAACTTGGTGTTGGGAAAGCTGCTAGTGAAACATCTGCGGGACAGATTTACGGAGGGGAGATGGAAACTCAGTTGGGTTGTGGCCAGCTGTGAACAGGTCAGGAGGCTGTATTTCAATATTTCGATAAAATTGTAGAAATACTGGAGAGATTTCAAAGGAGAGCTACAAGAATTATTAGAGAATGGATTTTACAGTGTGGCTGCCTGATTGTTTTTTTGGCATCTCTTGCAACACAGGAGCTCTGCAAATAGGCCTGGAGAGCTTCACACTCATTGAGACCGGGTGCAATTAGTAGGCTATAAAATTGTGCAAGGAATATCCTTTCTCCAGCGTGCCAGAGTGGGGTGTGGTGTATCACTAAAAAAAAAGAAAAAAAAAAAAATCAACTCATGGTTGATAAACAGCAGTTAAATCCACCTTCTCCTCGATGGGGACGAGGTGCGATCATTAGGAGTGCAAACCCCGTGTTCCCCTCAGCACAAACCAGCTCTCTGTCCCATTTGGATGAATGCCCTTCTGCTCTGCTTTCTTCTCAAGTGTGCTTAACTTGCCAGCCTCGAGTGTTTGGGCTTTTGCGATCAGTTCACCAAAGCAGGTTCTGTCCCATGCTGTCGCAACACCAGTGCTCAGACCCAGTTGGGACTGCAGAGTGGTCTCGATGAATGGCAGGGATGCCTTCTGCATGCCGACAGCACTTATTTTGGCCACAGGAATGTCTATAAATAGCTCCGGGACAGGCCTCGAGACATTCTCTGTGCCCCACACGAATCCTCCATCTGAGCCAACCTTCAACCCTTCCTTCTGGTTTTGGAGTGCCGAGGAGACGAGGGGAAGAGCATCCCTCCAGAAAACCCAGAGATGGCCAATGTCACTTTTGGTTGATGTTTTTTTGCTTGCCTCCTTCCTGATTTTCCCTGGCTCCAGCCCGGCTCACTGCCCAGGTATGTCAGGGAGCTACTTTGTGGATGCTTCATAAAGTTTGGTCACCACCTCCCAAACAGGTCCATCTGCCACACTGTAATTAGGGAGAGGTTTGTTTCAAATTATTCATTTGTGTTTTATAGCAATTTACAGGAGAGCAGTAAACACTCTGTATTTTTGCCATATTTTCAGGGCAGTGCCACATCACTCCTGCCTGTGCTGTGCAATCAGGGTCAGATGCTGGGACCACCCATGGTCTGTGCCTATGCCCTACGATGTTTGAGGTCTTAATTCCTACAGATTTTGGGCGAGGTGGATCTTGGAACAGGCCAGTTTTGGGAAATTATGCAACTGGATTTTGTTCCCCAATTGGGAAAGCTATTCCATCGTACTTTTCCTCCATGCGTGTCTTCACCTTTCTTCCCAAGCCAAAAACACCTCCCCACCAGCTTTTGCAAGTCGCAGCCTTTCGCCACTCTTGCTGTAGGGATGACTCCACCCAGGAGATCCCGAGATTTGTTCTGTCTTGTTTTCTCCTTGGAAACGTGGTAGCTCGGTGGGGATTTGCCTGGTCTCTCCTGCCGATCTCTTTCTGGGGCTTGTTGTGCTCCAGCAAGCCATGTGTGTCCTTTGCTTGGGGCTCTAAGCTGTTGGCCCTGTTTATTTTGGAGGGATGCTGGAAATGGCACCGTCCCTTGACACTGCACCATCCGGGGCACGTGGTGGCTCATCTTTGTGCACTTCCCTGTGACCAGCAGCTCCTAAAATGCTGTGACTCGGAGCGTCCAAATCCAAATCCAAAACTGCTGAGCACACGTTTGCCGCTTGCAGGGTCCTATGTGCACAGGGCTGTTGTGACCCCATGTCTCTGAGCAAAGCACAGTCGCTCCAGCTTGTCCACTGGCTCCTGACGTTGCAGAGGGGCAGACTTGAGCCTTTTGGGGTAGGTTTGCTCTGGATGTCGCTATGGGGCTGGGTTTTCCAGCAGCCTCCCCAGGAAAGGAGTGCAATGCAGGGGTAGGTGGTTTGCTCAGGGCAGGAGGCTGCATGCTCCTTGCAGAGCAGCTAAAAGTAACACCAAGCCTTAATATAGCACAGAATGAGCCCTTCCAAACCTAGGTCCCTTCCTGGGTGGAAGATTTGTCTTTTCTAGGGAAGAGAAATCTGTTTTTCAGAAATTCCCTGGTGCTTCAGAGATGTTGAGGTGAGACAACCACCGTTTCCTAACGGTTTGCATCCTCTGATGAGGATGGTCAGTCCATGTGGCAACAGAGAGGGTTGGGAGCTGTGAACTGGCTGCAGGAAGGACTGTGACAAAGATCTAAGTTATTTTTGGAGAAGGAAGGAAAGAAAAAAGAGGAAATGCTTCTATTTGCTCATCTCTTTCGCTGCCCAGGCTTGGAGTCCCTCTGTCATGGAGAATTCCTCCAGTCGGTGGCACAGACAGGCTCCAGGTTCCCTCCAGATGACCTCCCCGAGCTGTGTGTGCAGAGCTGGCTCCGTGGCTCCCTGTGCTTAGTGGTAAGCTCATGTAGGGCCTGCTTATTTTTGTTTTCCCCTGGCTGTCTCCCACAGCTGCATTTCCTTGAGGGAGCACAGAGCCTGCAGAAACACCCAGGACAGCAACCCTCCTCTGAGGGTACCACAGCTCTCTGCAGAGGCAACAGCCTGGTTGGGACAAGCTGGGAATTTCTGCCTTCAAATCCTGGCTCACGTCCCATATGGCTTTGCTTCCTGCCTCAGTTTCCCCAAAATGGGAAATTTTAGTGAGTTCCAGAGAGCTCTTGGAGAACATCCTCCACGGTTCCATCAATCTGTTGCCAGAAGGATAGGGCTCTAAATTATGACTTATTATAGTTGTTGAATATTGGGATTTTAGGGCATTCTTGGGTCTGGGCTGCCTATTAATAATGTAAATCTTCTGGGACAGCTTCCTCCCAAAAATGGATAAGAGCTGCTGAGCTGAAATGCTTTGGGTCTCACCTGGGTGTTGTGAAAAAGTCTGTGCATCACCAGAGCACCCACGGGTGGCTCTGCAAATGAAACGTTATTGGGTATTTCCTTCCCCAGGGGATTTACCTTCTGGACTAGATGGGACAGAGACAGGCTGAAACTGCGCCATGCGATCGGACAAGGGAATTTGGCTGCGATTATTCTGGCTCAGCAGTTCTTTCCCACGTAAGGGCTGGGATCTGCTCCGTGCAGGAACATGCCTGGCTCTCCCATCTTAACCTGAGAGCTCCAGAGAGAGTCAAGGTCTTCGTGGTGTGGGAGCTGGATAGGTTCATGTTTTTAAGAGGGTTGTTGGGAACAGTTCCCCAGGCGCCGTGAGGTGTTCTCTGTCCCCTTGATACCTTTTACATTGAGACTGGATGTTTTTTCTAAAGGAACTTCTCTGGCTCTAGTAATAATTCAAGAAGAGAAACCAGTTTCTGGGGACAGGTCAGACTCGACAAGCATGACACCGTCAAGTTTTTGGTTTTTAAATCTACCATCTAACTGGTGAGGTTTGGCAAAGACCTATCAGGTCACGGTAACATACGTACAGGTGATGCGTTGTCATGGCTCGACTGAATTGTGCTCGCTTGTCACCAGCCAGAGCAAATAAACGTGGCATATGCAGCTGAGATTACAACCTGGGTGAGTAATCTCCCTGCCTGAACGCCGAGTATGTGTGAGACGGGGACCTAAATAGATCTGTAAGCTCCAGGGGCAGGAGGAGGCCGGTGGGTCAGCTGGGAAGGGATATAGGATTTGGGTCTAAGGGGATTTCTAGGATTTCTATCAGGCTTTGCAGAAGCAGAAAAGCAATTTACACTGCATCAAGCCTCCAAGAGCTGTTGTCAGCAAAGCACAGGGCCAGCGCTGACTTCAGAGCTAACTTTGCAGCACGAACGGGTTAACCGAGGATGAGTCAAGCTGTCCTGGTTTTTGAGAGAGCGGCGGTTACATGATGTGATGCGTGGTAGCGATGTAGCCTCGCCCCAGCAGAGGGAAACAACTCAGGATTAATTGAGCTGCCTTTGTCCCATATGCATGTCCCTCCATCGGTGTCTGCGCCGCCCTCTGCGCCCTCTGAGTCCCTGCTGCTGTGCAGCCAGGCAATCCGTACCAGCCTGTGTTTGAAAGTCTGGGGCGGCTCTCAGCTGCCTGGCATCAATACCCAGCATCGCGGCGGTCACTCGAGCCGCCTGTAACAAGAAAACCTCTGTCTCTTCCCGGGATGTTGAGACTGCGCTGAGACTTCACACAGATTTAGCACAGAGCATGCGTGCTGCAAGAATGAGGCGCCTGGGACTCAGAGCATCTTTTATACCTGGAAGCAACATCTCTCCCCAACCGGGGTTTCCCATGGCCAGAACCTGAGACCAAGGAAGGGACTCATCCATGGCAGAGCCAGAAACAGAGCACAGAGCCTTGATTTATTTCTGTTCAGAACCGCTTTGCAATGGCTGGGCCGCTGCAGAGGAACCACCAAAACCCCGCTGCAGTGTTAGCTGTAAAGGAGGAGGCTGTGGACCTCAGCCCGCCTGCCCAGCAAACAGGGAAGTTGGTTGTGCAGCCGCAGCCATGCTGCTGGCCTGTCTCTGAAAAGTGCACAAATCTTTGTGGGTGAGGTTCTCGCTATGAGTTACTGCCTTTAGGGTGCTCTTAAAACCAATTGCTACACCCTGTAAGTAACCTGCATCAAGGTTTAGCAAGCTGAGAGATTAAAAAAAGGTATTTAACGCTGGCTGTGAGTGTGTTGGCATCTCCATCTGCCTCCTTAGTGGGCTGCAGAAGGGCATTTCAGCCATCCCATCTCTTCTTTTTGCAGCTGCAGAGCTACTTTGCTGCCTGTGAAGATGAGACGCCGGCCATCAGAAACCACGACAAGGTCCTGCAGCGGCTCTGTGAACATCTGGACCATGCTCTGCTCTATGGGTAAGTGTGAAGCCTGCCTCTGGGCTGCTGGGGTGCTTTTTACCCTGCTTTGCTGGGAAGCCATCTAGGCAGTAATTGGGATAGAATCATAGAATCATAGAATGTTTAGGGTTGGAAGGGACCACTAGTGGTCATCTAGTCCAACCCCCCTGCAGTGAGCAGGGACACTGCTAACTAGATCAGATTGCTCAGAGCCCCATCCAACCTGGCCTTGAATGTTTCCAGGGATGGGGCCTCCACTACCTCTCTGGGCAACCTGTTCCAGTGTTTTACCACTCTCATTGTAAAAAATTTCTTCCTTACCTCTAGCCTGAACCTACCCTGTTCTAGTTTAAAACCATTTCCCCTTGTCCTAACACAGCTGGCCCTACTAAAAAGACGTTCCCCATCTTTCCTATAGGCCCCCTTTAGGTACTGGAAGGCCGCAATCAGGTCTCCCCGTAGCCTCCTTTTCTCCAGACTGAACAAGCCCAACTCTCTCAGCCTGTCCTCATAGGAGAGGTGCTCCAGCCCTCGGATCATTTTTGTAGCCCTCCTCTGGACCCGTTCCAACAGTTCCATGTCCTTCTTGTGCTGAGGGCTCCAGAGCTGGACGCAGTACTCCAGGTGAGGTCTCACCAGAGCTGAGTAGAGGGGCAGAATCACCTCCCTCGACCTGCTAGCCACACTCCTCCTGATGCAGCCCAGAGTACGGTTGGCCTTCTGGGCTGCCAGCGCACATTGCCGGCTCATGTCTAGCTTTTCATCCATCAGTACCCCCAGGTCCCTCTCGGCAGGGCTGCTCTCGATCCTTTCTTCCCCCAGCCTGTATTGATACTGGGGGTTACCCCAACCCAGGTGCAGGACCTTGCACTTGGCCTTGTTGAACCTCATGAGGTTCACACAGGCCCACCTCTCCAGCCTGTCCAGGTCTCTTTGGATGACATCCCTTCCTTCTGGTGTGTCAACCTCACCACTCAGCTTGGTGTCATCCGCAAACTTGCTGAGGGTGCACTCGATCTCGCTGTCTAAGTCATTGATGAAAGATGGAGATAATGAAGCCCTTGCTTAACCTTCCTCTGCGCTTCTTTCTTCTTCCAGCCTGCAAGATCTTTCCTCGGGCTACTGGGTGCTGGTTGTTCACTTCACCCGCCGGGAAGCCATCAAACAGATAGAAGTGCTTCAACATGTGGCCACCAACCTGGGACGCAGTGAGTATTCGCAGACGCTGCCCCTGCTCTGAGGACAAACCGCAGTTTGGGGATATCTGGCAGGAGGCTCGGGCAGGTCGTGTGGGCTGCATGTTCGAGCTGCAGGCAGATTGAGGGAGCCAGCAGGCAGCTCCCCGCTGAGTCTGGGTCGCTTTGCTCAGGCCAAGCCCTGCTGTAACCGCATGACAGCTCTAGAAATGATTGCACAGTGTCTCAGGACCGGGCATTGGGTCAGAGACGTAGCCCTGCTTCTGCTGCCATGAAACCAGAGATCTGCTGGGCCGTGCTCTTGGGAAGGGTTTCTGGCAGATAGATGGGAGGCATCACCTCTCTCGCCCCAGAACATCTCGCTGTAGCTGTCGTTTGCCCGATGCTGCTTCTCCCCTGCTGCAAGTTGTCTGTAGCAGATGTTTGGGACCATCGAGGCCGCTTTTGATGCAGGACGGTGCCCAGAGACTTCCTCTCTGCCTGATTATCCCAACGCCCTTCATCTCCCAAGCCCTGTACCGGTGAGAGCGGAGCTGAGCACAGACTCCACCATCACCTCTCTCTGCACCAGAATTTGTGTAGTATCTCAAATGGTACCTGTGCTGATTTAGAGCTATTCTCCTTCTGTTTCTCCTGTCTCCTGATCCCTGCTGGAAGTGCCGGCAGGGCTCCCATCTCGCTGGAGAGACACGGTTGTGTGTCTGCTTCTCAACCAGTTACGACGCAGTCTTTTATTCCTATTCCACTCTGAATCACAAATCTTCCCCTTCATCTCCCACTGATGTTTTTCCCCACAGATTTCCCCAATGGTCAGTTGCTCCCCTGAAATGATACAAATGCAAATGAGTGATCTGACGTGTTTTAACTGATTCGTCTTTATTTCCAGGCTTGCTTTGCTTCTCAGGCGTTTCCCCGCAGATAAATCTCTCTGTTGCTTTCTTTTCAGGCCGGGCATGGCTGTACCTAGCCCTCAATGAGAACTCCTTGGAGAGCTATTTGAGGCTGTTCCAGGAGAACCTAAGCCTGCTGCACAAGTACTATGTCAAGTGAGTAGCCCAGCCCATTCTCGTTTGGGCACTGGTTGGCCTCCCTTCATGTCAGAAGCAAGCCCTAATTTTCCAGTGGGGAACAAGCAGTTGATCGTTCCTTGTGGGTTTTGCAGAGGTTTTGCATGATTTATTTAAAGGTCCCAGATGTGGACATGCTGTCCTATATAAGAGGGCCTGCAAGCATCTCTCTTAGTTACTGCTCTTACTCCCAGTCCCAGATGTGCCCTTTATATTCTTGCATGTTTTGGAAGAAGCTGCTGAGCTCTTGTCCGGGGACTCAGCTCTGATGGATACCTGGAAATCTGGCTGTAGCTCGGTTTGGGGACACCATGTAGTGGATGCCTGACTGCTCCGAGCCACACATATCTGCCCATAAGCTCTGTCATTGCTCTTAGGAAGAGGAGAACCAGCAGGCTGACAGCTCTGAGGCTGTTTATGCAGCAGCTCAGAGACACACTGCCAAGAAAACAGAAGGGTACTTGTAGCTATTTCTTCTCTTTCCCACATCTCTAAGGCTCTTCTGTTTTATCCATGC